CGGGTTTCTGACAGAAAGTTGCACAGGCAGTTACATTAACTTTTCTACTATTTGATGGTGAACCTTCTAGGCATTGAAGCCTTTCATAGGCATGGCTATGGAGGGGTTGAGGTTTTGGCTACCTCTTCTATGCTAAAGCATACGTGACCAGTTTGTTTGTGCACTCTGCTGAGTTCTTCAGTAGAGAGATTCATTCATTGCCTCTCTTATGAATGACATGCAACCTGGCTTTCCTTTGCAGTCTGTGAGCAGGGGTGTTCCAGGCTGGTGTCACAGATATGGCTATTGCTGGTAGCTAGAACTCGACCGGTTTCATGTATACTTTGTTGCGAAGCTCTTTAATAACAGTGGAGTGTGTTACCTCCTACAGACTGTGCACACTAGTTCGGTTGTGTCATTACTGCATTCTGCAGAAACATAATAAAAATTGAAACACAAGTTTTTTGCATCTGCGCCTAATGTAGTAAAGCCTCTGAATGCCCATAAAGGCTCACCTCCCAGCACTGATGCAGTGGAGAATGTACTGAGTTTTGAACCACTACTGAATTCCATACTACTGAAACAAATGAGGGGAATGTCATACATCAGCAGCATTTCAAAGGTATACGCTATCACTGTGAATTATGTGAAGCTTGAACGTTCATTGAATATAAAAAAGCTAGATGTTGCCAGTAATCACACGCTTGTCTTAAATATTTGGATATGCATGTCTAAGTACATGTCATATAAAGTGAAACCATGAATGTCTGATGACTTTAACACTTGTTTTGAGGTTTAAAAAAATTTGGGTAAAAAATGTGTATTGCAATTGGAGGGAATACTTTGTCGGGGAAATAATAAATATTGGCCAATAAATTGAAATTTCATGTTTCATGGAATCATTCCAAATATATATATATTAACCACAGTAGTATTTTTCTAATTAATTAAACATTTTATTCTTTTTAAGTTTCAAGCTATATTGTCAGATGAAACGGCTATTGAACAGCTGCAGAAAAAGGGACCACATAGGCCAAGAAAACCAAAAATGGCACTTCTAAGTGAAGTATTTGGACGAGGTAATGTATGTTTTATTCAGTTATTTTTAAACATCAGAACATTTTTTGTGGGGTCTCTCCAGAATATTTGAACTGTTTAGTTGGACTATGTATATACTATCCCATTGCCATGACAAGTGTTGTCATTGCTTGAAACATAAGTTCTTTAATTTATCTTCTATTCAACTTCTTATTTAAACACTACCGAAAGCATGAACTTGCAGTTCTGTGTTGCCATTTGGTAAAATACGAGAATTTTGATTTATCTTTCAAATTTGATTAATCTATAACTGGCGAAGAAATTGAGTGATTTAAAAGCCATAAATACATTCTACAATAATTTATATCTGTATTATATTTTTAATAATTTATCTAGTTGGCATAAATAAAAATACATGCAGTGTTATTGTGATTATTAAAAGATGTTTCTAATGCTATTATTAAATAATTAATATGTAATCATGTGGTTTTTCTTCTGCCCTGTTGTTATATATATGCATAACTTTATTTAGATATTTATGAATTACTTAGAATACATGGTGTTTCATATTGAATGGAAGAAAAAGAATAGCATAGTACAAATTCTGTAATTGATTTATTAAGCCAAAACAAATTAATTCTGCATCAATTAAACAAGTTTTATCTGGCCACAGTGACAAATCTTTCAATTATGAAATCATCACTAGAAGCTATGTTAATCAGAATGCAGGAGAAAGTGTAGTGTTTTGAAATATGCCAAAACATCATCAGTTTCATCATTCAAGTACATTTTCACACAAAATTTGATAGAGATCCTCTGCATCATCACAACATCAACAATGGATGAAGCAGTTTCAGACACAGTTTGCTGTGTAAGAAAACCAGCCCATGATGAACAGTAATCAACCGAAGCGGTTGAAAAAGATTTGTGAAACATTTTTATGAAGTCCCACCAAATAAATCAACGCATTGTACGAGTTCTGTGCTCAGTGTGCTTCATGTAACAGTGTGGCGTGCATTATAAAAACGTCTACAATTCTAGCCATACGCCTTTCAAATGGACCAGACATTACAAACCTTTTTTCAAATTATTGCATAAAGAGATAATGAGAATTTTCAAGATATGCTGGAGGTAGATAGTTTTGCAAACAGACTTATGTTTACAGATGAAGCCACTTTCTATGTTTCTGGCAAAGTTAATTGCCATAATTTATGATTATGGGGCATAGAAAATCCAAAAGGACTAATGGAACATCAACATGGTTCTCCAAAGATGAAAATTTTTCTTCATGGAAAAATCAATTAATGGGTGCATTTACAAAAATATACTATCAGAGAGATTGTTCCCTCAGTTGGAGGAAACGTTTCCCAGCTGTATTCTGCAGTAAGATAGTGCTCCACTACATTGGCATAAAAATGTACACCAGTACCTGAGCGATAGTATACCCCATTGCTGGATTGGCCATGTTGGGTCAAACAATATGCTATTGCATTGTTGGCCACCGAGATGCCCAATCTAACCCCTTGTGTTTTTTCCCTACATAGTAAAAGACAAAGTTTTCATACCTTCCTTTCCCTAGGACTTACAACAACTGAAGGAGTGGATAATTGAAGTGATCGAATAATTAACAAAGGATATTTTATCATGAGTGTAGCAGGAACTGTAATACTGCATAGATATTTGTTGTTTCTCCGGAGGGGCATACATAGACATCTAAGGAGACTTGGATAACTATAGTTCACTGAGAATTTGATTTATCAAAGCATTCACAGGTATGCTTTTTTTTTTTTTTTTTTTTTTTTTTTCCCTATTCAATATGAAACACTCTGTATTTAATAATACAGCCTGAAACTGGAATTAAACAAAATGTTAAAAATCATGGTTTGCACCTTGAAAACAAATTTTTATAATGTTTTCATGTATTTACCCTCCATCTGTCCAGAATCATGTAAAATCTAATAGAGAGATAATTTATGAAGTTTAATTCCAAAATTCCCCAGTTTTGAGGAGGAGAATTCAAAGTGAGTACATGGAATCAATTTCAGTTCATTTTCAATGCCCTGTAATTTAAATTTCTTCTCCTTTATATACCATCCTGGTAAATGGTTGTCGTAATTTAATCATTTCCATCTAGAAACAAAAGAAATTTGCAGATGAACTTTCCTTACAACTAAATAATTCCTTGTTGCTGTGTGTTTTTATTTTTGTGTATAATTTCATATTACTCATGGATTACCAGTTTTTCATTGAGATAATAACATAAATTATTTTTTAATAATTTCATTCCATCAAATAATAATTTAAGCTATTAAATAAAAAGGTTCAAATAAAAGTCCTTTGAAGAAAAATAAAATTATATAATTCTACTTTTGAAAATATATCTTTGTTATTTTTTGTTATTCTTTATTTCAGGTTCTCCTTTATTATGGATCTTTCCATGTCAGAGTGCTCCAAGAAACTTGGAAAACCTAGCTTCATATGAAGTTTAATATTTTCATTTTTCAAATTTTATACAAGTCTTAAATAAAGGTTGCAATTATATGCAATTGTATCTTGTTTATACATGCAAAGCATTATATAATTGTGTAACAGCATGGCTTTTATATTTTGTTTCATTTAGCGATTCATGTTGTTGAATATCAACTCCATTTATATTTATAAATGTAAATCATATCATATTTATATACTCATATATGTTTGTCTGTGAATCATATGTGGAAGCAGTTATGTACTTATTTTTCTATTAATGTTAAATATTCTGCTTTCTTCCACAGATGTAAATTTTATAGTTTGTTGTCTATTATAAACATTACATGGAATGCTTGAGAACTTAACTGAGTTTTATTATGAAATCAATAAAGTAATAAAAGGTTATTTAATTTATTTGTAACATTTTATGGCTTTATTTCTTTTGCCATACAGGCAGCTTAATTTTCCATACAAATAACTGAATTTAAAACTAATTTATATAATTTTAAATAGCTATTTACTATATTTTTTATATTTCTTTGAGGAAATAATACATTGTTATGCAAGAAATACCTATTTTTAAATGTATATGTATTACTTCAGTACTTTTATCTTGCTTTATTTGTAACATGAATATTATATTCAAATTGCTATGAAAAAAGAACTTGTAAGCAAATGGCATAGCTACAATTCAGACACTTTTTTATTATATATTAAAAACCTGAAATCAGCACAGGCACTTGTAAACTTTAAATAAGTTAACTATTTATCTCAGTATTCACACCTAAGAATTACTGTAAATGAATATATTTTAAGAAAAATACGAGGTCAGCTGTTTAATATTCTGACAATTAATCATATTTTTAAGAATAAAAAAGGGTTTTTTTTAATTTAATTTTTCAGGTTGTAAAATTCTGTTTATCATTTTATGGACTTTTTAAAGTAGAAATGAAATTAGACTACTATTCAGATCTTAAAAATAGTCTGAATTTTTCTCAATTTTTGAGCTTTTTTTAACTTAAATAAAGAGATCAAATTCCAAATATTTTATTATTAATATTTTTATTTTTGTGTTACATTTTATTTTGCACATATATTTTGAATTTATTTTTATATGTTTTTTTTTTTGCAATTTTTTATTATAAATTTGTATGAAAATATTTTAAAGTATATAAAATATAGAAAAATACATTACACATTGCGATATTCATTTAGAATTTTACATTTTATCTAGTCTTGAAAAATATCATTCTTTTTGAATTAACTAATTATTATAAATCATATTTCAGATATATATTTCAATTTGAGTAATTATAACATAAAAATCAAAGAACTATTAAGATATCTTAATATGTATTCCTTATAATTATTGTATCTTCCATGTTACAACTCATTCAAAATTTAAAAAAATGTGCATAAAGATATTTATGTATATGTTTTTGGTGATTGTTCACTAGTTAATATTTCACTTAAAAGTGATTTGTGATATTATATATATATAATAAACATTACAATGAAATATTGTAGCTGTTTTATTCATTAAACACAATGATTGTAAAATCATATTCTCACTTTGAAGTTTATATACAGTTGAATATAACTATAATATGAATTTTTTATACTAAGATTGCTAGCGATCTATTTCTCCAAAGACAATATCAAGGGTACCTGTAAAGGAAAGATGCATTTGTTAATATTTTAATACAGACTTTGTGCACATATAAAAATTATTTTAGTTGATTATTAACAGTAACTGAACAAATTGGAATGTTAAAGATTTTTTTAAATCCAATTTACAACCATCAGCCACTGAAATTTATTAAGAATTATAATAAATTACCTGAACAATTAATTTTCAAAAGGATATTTTTAAATTTTCAAAGAAATTTTCTCTCTTAAAATTCAATTACAGTTATATTTAAAATGCATACATACATAATTATTTATACCACAGAAGGCACACAGAATTACTATGCTGCTCAAAAAGTATCTAACCTTTGGTTGGCAAAAATGCATTTATTAATTTGTAAATCCAAAACACAAATTTCCTTCAAAGTAGTCTCCTTGGTAATGGATGCACTTCTCTCAGCTCTTTTGTTATTGTTGGAAATGCATCTGGAGCACAGTTTTTGGAATGGTGAGCAATTAGCATCACATTCTGCATGATGCCTGTGCTCAACTCAAATCGGGATCCTATTACCAGCATTTTTAGCTTGGGAAACAACAAAAAAATCACACGAAGCCATGTTGGGTGAGTAAGGGAGCCCGGAAAACCACAGGAATGTTGTTTCAGCAAGGAAAGTCTGAATCAAATGTGCATGGCCAGGTGCATTATCATGATGGAGCTGCCAAGTTTTTGCTGCTCATAGATCCGGTCGTTTGCACTGCACAGCATCATGAAGGCAATGCTGGACCTCCTAGTAGTACTCTTTTGTGATGGTTTGGCTTGCAAGCGTGCTCATGATATACCACACCATGGAAATCAAAGAAGACAGTCAATAAGACTTTGCTATGGACCTGCCATGCATTTTTGGGTCTCGGGGATGACGGATGTTGCCACTGTGATGACTGCATCTTTGGTTTCTGGGTCGTACTAGTATACACGTTCCATAGCCTGTGACCATGGTGTTCAGAAAGTTGGGGGTTACTGTTGACATCGTCCAGCATGTCCTGTGTGATGTCCAGATGGCCATCTCTGAAGCAGTTATGCCACTCCTTTATGCGAGATGTGCTCATGGCATCGTCTGCGAAAGCCTGTTAAATCTTGTGAATGGTTTCTGCTTGGGTATTGGCAAGCTTTTGTAAAACTGGATGCAATATCGCTGCTCAAGTTTTTCAGTCATTTTCCAACCATTCCACAACTACTGAAATCTGACAAATGCTCACTACATGTACTCACTCATTGGCTGACTGCCAGAAACTGATCCTTTCCGTAGGCGGGGAAAAAAATCATGGATGTGCATGCTTGAACAGCATAGTATATCAAAATAAGTTCAACATTATTTACATTTTAATAATTTTCTTGTTTTTATCAAATATATTGAAATTTTTCAAATAACATTCTGCTTACATGAATAACTTCAATACTTTTTATCTTGAATTATTACATACTATATTACAATAAAAAGTGAATTTTAAAAAGTGATTGGACATTCATTTCCTGAACATACTGAAATTACTAGTAGAAATTCATGAATAAAACTGCGATTTATGTTTTGAAATATTTCACACCAAAAAGAGCATGATTAGTTTTATTTCATAAAGAGGCAATATATGTAAGAATATAGGATATGATTTAATTCTCATATTTAGTGTTCTATACAAAATATCTCATTCTTTAGATCAGTTGTGGTAAACCTTTTTGAGGCTGCGTGGCAAAAACCTTTTTCCGGGGGTGTCCAAAACCTCTTTGATTAAATCCCCCATCAGAGAGGAGTTTACCATGTTTTGCCAGGCACAGTGAAATCCGAAAGTTGGCCTTTGTCAGATGGTTTGTTTTAGAAAGATAATTGCAAAAACCAACTTTCTAGTAATTATAATTTCTTAATTTCCCTTCAATAAATACCTTCCGTTCAGCTTCATCAAGTTGGGGAACAATCTTGTGGTTGGTGTTGAAGTGCCATCTGACACTAGATGTGCGTGATACACAACATTTTCCCCGCACAGAATGTATAATGCTTTCCTATCGTGTTCAATAACTCCAAATGATTCTTTCCAGGGCTTTTGAAATAATCTTCCACCATCAATGTTTAATTTTGCCGGAGTCATTTGTGAAAGTTCAAGACCGGGGCAGCAGTAATTGTTAACCCGGACATCTCTTTGCTAAACTTCTAACTTTAGATTTCAAATGCTCGTTTTCAGCTTTGTTGGGCTTATTTTGGCTGAGTGTATGTGAATAAACTTGGTTTCCTTACTAAGCTTTCATGTTTTGCTATATTATCAAATTACATGTTTTTACATTATATTTGTACATTCCATTTAGGATATTAAATTAGAATTATTCATAAGTTATCTCAAAGTGCTTAGATCTGAAAACTGGGATATATTTAACAATGAAAGTATTAAAGCTCACCACCGGTCTGCAATAAATTTGAATTTGTTTAGCAAAAATTAGCTGTTTCAACTTTGGCGTATTCTTTGCCATGTAACAAGTAATATGATTGGCCCAAACAATTGAAATGTCATAATTGGGTCAATAAATATGTATATCATTCTTTGGCGATATATAAAAATCTTATATCTAGGCTTAGGCCGTATGCCAGTGGCTTTATGCGATAAGTAAGTGAAACATTCAAGAAAAGACTAAAACATTTATTTAAATTACATAGTATCATTTTATTGTGATTATTGAATAAGGATATTTTAGTCGCGTGCCAGCTGATGAAGCTCTGTGTGCGCACTGTGGCATGCATGCCATAGGTTCGCCATCACTGCTTTAGATCTTTAATTCTTAATAATGCTGAAAGAAGTATCTACATGCTTTCTTGTGACATGCATTTTCAAGTTCAAATTAAATTTGAAGGTTCAAATATTTTAAACTTTATACATTTATACTGATATCATTAGGTATTGTAAAATTCCTGCTTAATTAAATATTTGTTTAGCCCATTATTTTAGAAAATTCTGTTATGTATTCAATAAACCTCAGATTCTCTTTTTCATTAAAATATATGTTTATTATAATCTTCCTTGTGATGAATAATCTGATAATCTAAAAGAAATTTTCATCATTTCAATTACATATGTTTACTGATATTGGCTTGAGGTATTTTATTTCTAGTAAAGATGATTTTGAGAGAAAGATATCATGGGAATACATTTTAAAAAAGTTATGTGATAAACTAATATGAAATAACTTTTGTTAAACTTATGGAAAATAAGCATATATCCAGTATTACTCTGGAGCCTTAAGCATCAATTCAGATTTCACATAAAACTTCCAAGCATTAAGCAGTAAAAATTTCCTTACTCAAAAACATAGGTCTTATACAGTGTATATCCTATTTCCAGCACTTATTCATACTGCTAAACAATACTTTTCATTATTAAGCAAAAGACTATCCTATTTGTAAACACTTTTGTTATTATATCATACCAGCTGCATTAAATTGCAAGAAATTTTTTTAATGTGCTTGCTGTTTGGAGAAAATATATTTTCTTGCAAATTCTGCTTTTCTTTCATAAAAATTTAGACATCTTTGAATAAGATAGTCTCATATCAATAATTTTCATTTCAAAATTTACCATCAAATATACCTAATTACTATTCACAAAAAAATTGATTATGTACTATGTTTAAACACTCTAAAACTAATGAAAAAAATAATTTTAGCTAGTGCAGTACAAAGTCCAAGATCAGGAATTCAGCAAATCTGTATTTGGGCTTTTGCTGGATATTAGATCATCAGTTTAAAGCATATCAACATTTTCATCCAATACAAGCTAGAACTTACCAATGTGATTTCCAAAAAAGAAGAGCAGCGATTGATCAAATACACTATCAGACAAATTTTGGAACAAACAAAGGAATATAACATTGACACTTGTTTATTGATTTTAAAGTTGCATATAATAGTTTAAATAGGAAAATATTACTTGAAGTTATGCTGGAATTTAACATCCCAAAGAAACTCAGCTTTACAAGTATGGCACTTGAGAGCGTGAAATGCAGAATTAAAATTTTGTCTTTTTTTCTCAGAGTCTTTTTATAATGCGAAAGGTCTGCAACAGGGAGACTCACTTTCTTGTCTGTTTAACTTGGCACTGGAAAAGACTATGCGAGATTCTCAACTAAGCACAAGTGGAACCATTCTACAAAGAACAATTCAATTACTAGCCTTTGCCAATGACATTGATATCACTACACAATCTAAACAGAATGTTGTAGAGGCATTTGTCTCACTTGAATATGCAGCAGGGAAGAGGTCTAACCATCAATGAGGATAAGAAAAAGTTTATGATGGTAACAAATAAAATCATGGACCTAGGCCCCCTTTAAAGATCAACAATTATACTTTTGAGATTGTTAAACAGTTTAAATATCTGGGTACAATGATTTTAAGCTGCAATGGCATTAAAAAGAGAATATCTATGGCCAACAGATATTTTTATGGACTTAGAAACCAACTTAAATTAATTAGCATACAAACGAAAATAAGTATTTATATAAGACTTTGATAATAATTGATATAACCTGTAGCCCTGCATGGAAGCAATTGCTGGACAGTTAACAAGACAGATTAAGATCTACTGCTGATATTTGAAAGAAACATTCTAAGAAATATTTCTGGACTGGTGAGGCAAAATGAACTGTGGAGAATTATAATACAACCATGAAATCTATTAGAAATATAATGAAACTAATATTGTGAAAATTGTAAAGGTGTCTCGTACTAAATGGTTAGGCCATATTTCTAGATATGATGATGCATTTCCTGTTAAAAAGATAACCTTCTCAAAAATGGAGGGAAAGCAACAAAAAGGAAGACCACCCACAATATGGCTGGATAGCGTGGAAAGCTGATTGGGGTACACCGATGGGAAGATGTGGCGGCAGAGATTGGGTCAAACTGAGAAAATTTGGAGAGACCAGCCTTGGCCTGCAGCAGGCTGTAGAGCTCAAGAAGATCATTAGTTTAAATCTAGTAAACTAATGCATAGAAATTATA